AAAAGTAGGCCTAATTTTGATAGCGGAAGCATATTCTGTCGGGGGTTAAATAGTTTCTGGACGAGATTCAGTGAGTCGTCTGTCGCCATGTTGTCACTCGGAACTACTCCGATGTCTCCGCACTCGACAATAGTATGGAGCTTGCGGAATGAGCCGAGGATTGCCGATTTCCATGTTGTTGTATTCATACGACTCCTACTTGACGAAAATGAGGCGCGATACCCGGATGACAGGTAGGCTTACAAAATTTGTGATGGGGTATGATACTCTGTAATGCGATCTGACACACACCTTGAAAACGGGTAGTGTGGTCTGATATACCGGTTTATTCTGGATCCGTAGGTGCCGAGTCTGGTAGTTGGGTAGATGTCACTAAAAAGTAGAGGTTTTGCCTTGGGACCTTGTTTCCGCAGCAGTCCCAGCTAGGTGTGGCTCAGCTGAGACGTGCATGGTCAGTGTCGACGGTTGATTAAATACTTCTCAAGCCAGTTGAACGTCCACGACAAGTATTTAGCAATAATTGACTAAATTGGTCAGACATTACGTAAGAATTTGACGGGAGGTGACCAGCGCACGTGGACGAGTTTATTCCGTATAACATCTCTAGAGCGTGATATTGGGTCACTTTACTCGGTTTTAGGGGTGTTTTAGGATGAAATGACTGTATTTTTTCTCGGTATGTATGTCAAATAATACACTGTCACCCTCTCGCGATATATGCCATGAACACCTCTCGCTGACGCTCGAGGTGTTATGGCATATATCGCGACAGTGTATTATCTCACACTTAAATATATATTCCAGTAGCATATGGATTAACAGGTAGGCGAGCGAAGTAATTGTAACCTCAAACTGAGGTAGGCTATCCCGATGAATGCACCAAGATGAACACTGTAAGGCGGAGTTAAATATCGATTACAACATGCTGTACAATGACAATGAGTCCTAAAAGGGTTAATGGACTTCTTTGTCTTAAAAGCAATTCATTTCGAAATTAAAAGAAAGTTTTTTTCGGGGAGCGTGGGTAGACAGTTTACGTCAGGTGATTTGTTAAAGCCGAGGAGTGTTTCACTATCAAATGTGAAAATCATATGTCATAAAAACACTGTAAGAAAGTTTTTTTTTTTTTTTTTGTTACAATCTGCAACATTTGTTCATTTATATAGCAAGGCGAAGTTAACGCCAGAGGTAAATAGTAACTAATACCGTAATCCTTCTCGTCCATTTATTTAAATCGTATCAAAACGTTTGATACACAATGTTCATTAATTTAATAATTTTGGCGATTTACTGAAACCATATTTGTACAGAGTAGGTTAGCATAAGTTAAGCAACAACCAGTATGAAGAACAACTCCCTTTTTAAATGAGGCAAGACACCCTCTTCACACTGATTATAACCTTGAGAAAGGCATTATGCAACAAGGCAAAGGAGTTATGCAAAGTTCTTTCAACTTGTGTGTGAATACAACACATTCTTTGTCGCCTTTACAAGGTAATGGAGGCGAGCAAGCGGAGTAATTACAATATACAATAAAAAGGAAATTAGGTTAGAAAGCTTACTTCGGGCCAGTCCTTTGCTTGCTCGAAGGAAAGAGATAAATATCGCGCCGCGACTCCCTTTATTAAACCTCCGTGTGTTTGTGTAAAAGTGTGAAAGACAGGCAACGGTCTTGAGTCGCTGTTGATATTGTTCGCGATTAATATTGAAGTATACCTCCTTCGCCTGTATGTAAACGTGTTACTTTTCCTCATGTGCAGTATATTTCCTTTAGGTGGTTGAGACAAGGCGATGAGATCGATAAAAGTAGAGGTTAATCTAAACAATTAGATGCGATATTCGTGAAATGACTTATTAAGTGATGTGCATGTACCTAGCATGTTTAAATTCTTGAATTTCTAATTTGTAAAATCTTTCATACACGGCCTCATATTTGTATTACTCTCAGGCCATACTCTTCGATATTATTGTGTTACACGGGACTCCTGGAAACCTGAAGCACAGGACATTGTGAAAGTTAATTTGCTACGGAGTTTTGTTATCCTTCATGCAGTTTTATAGCTGGGATGAACACTGTGAAGTAGAAACAGGCTTTACTTAGCTTTACTTAATATACGACAGTTTAGCCCTCTAGTGACCGAGTGGGGTCATTTACGACCCCAGCCATATGATTTAATGTGCCATCTCTTGATTTTTTATTCGAATTTTCTTTCCTTTGCATGAGTTTGTTAGTCTAATAATCCTACAGACTTTCAGAGTTTTTTGTAGGGATCAACCAATTAGTGTGGCATTTACATCACAAACTCTTGTGGGGTCATTTATGACCCCAAAGAGAAGCATTGGTTTTTAAATATTAGTTTTTAAATTTTATTCAAATGTTCTGCCCACGCAACACTGACAGGAAAATGTCACATGCATGTGCTTCATGCAACCAGCCAGTTCTATTCACCAAAACATAGGCACAAATAAGTGGTTTGTGAAGATTGTGCTTGAAGTGTTACTCATAGTGCATCGCTGATTCTAATTTCAGTAGCTTTGTTGGAACTTGTTCTCATAACTGGGTCTCTCATCTTGACGGTTACAATTTTCGGATATTTCGAAAATGTAAAGAAATCTGTCGATATCATATTATACATATATTAACAAATTGTTTGTGTGGATTTTGTTTTATACACAGATGTGATAGTTACATACATGTAGGTTGATTGAATGTGTTCTGAGTAGTATGACTCTCTTACCAGCATTAGGGTATTCCCTACTCAGAAAGCCAGCTAATTATTCTTATTGAAGTTAGCAGGATGCTATCTCAACATAAGTCAAACTATTTTTACTCAAAGTAATTTTGTAATGTACTTTTTTCATTTAGTGTGGCAAATAAAAAGATAAATATTTCTGCAAGTGGAAACTGATAAGGACTGTCTAAATACCGGTGTTATGTTGTTCTTAAAATCTGTGCTTGGTTATTTCATGCAATAAAAGTATTATTACCAAATACTTATTACATTAGATCATTATAAAACACTTTTCTTAAATCCTGGAAGGTGTGATAAACCCTCAACAGCCTTTTATAATAAGGATCCCTGTACAGAGCACAATGGGGTCATAGATGACCCCATTTGGTCATTTCAGTCAGTAAAATAGCTTGGTCTCTTGAGGGTTAAACAAAACCTGTGTTCATTTGCACAGTAACACAGATAATATTTATAAGTTGTCTGTCGTTCAGCACGCACTATAGGCGAGTAGCTAAACAGTGACGATGATCACAGTAATTGTATAGGCAGGGTTTAAGCTTGTTCGAGAGATAATAACAATCGCGTTTAACAAAAGATAGCGAGCTATAGTAAGACCCCCTCCTCTTTAATTGATGATTTTCACTGTTAATTTACCGTACTTCCATATATTGTATGATCACACAGTCAGACTTCCCCCGGTTGCACGTTGGAGTTGGATTGTCCTTGCGCCTCTGTCAATGCACCTCATTTAATTTCAATATTATAATATAAGTATAGTATAAATAATATATTCTTTCCTTATTCCTCATTCATTATCATTCATGTTTTATAAATACTTGAATGCAGTACGTTTATAAATAAATTATACATTTATAAATTAATGCAATAAGAATTTTTTGAGACAGATTGATGCTGACGCTCATGCATGTCAATCAAACAAACTATACTTAGTTCAATTTTTGACTGCGGAAATTGCATATTGGATGAAATTAACTGATAACAAATTTACCTAGCAGTTTGTAAGCAGCACTAAAAACATAATCAGCTGCGCGTGCCAAACTAGTGAACAAAAGGACAGTTCGCTACGCGTGGCACGCGTTAGCATGGGTTCTAGCCTCTTAAAGCTATAATCCTATCGCCGCAACAAACAATGGGGACCTTCTGGCTGATGTATCCTGCTGTTAATTACACCTAGTTACAGCGGATTGTCGCGCTCGCGCTGGACCACAGAAATCGGCGTCATGGGGTTCACTTGTCTTAAGTATTGTGTTATTGCACCTAAGCTATTGTGTGTGTGCGTTCGAATTTTGAAGGGATTTATACGGCCCTCCATTGTTTGTCCGCCCCCTTCTATTCACCAGATAGGGATTAAATCATTTTGAAAGTTGTTAAACCGGTGTACAACGGTAACAAAATAATTACTACCACTGTACGTTGTATCAAATAGTACATTTTGGTGGTGAAGGTGAATTGTAAAATACAGTAATATATATAAACTTTTGAAAGTCTGGAAAAGAACATAATGCTTAAAGGAGGCAGACAACTTCTGGTAAAAAAAATGGCACTATTTCATGAAAGATCATCTGGAACTTCTGAGCACGACCCATTTCAAGAATATCAACCCAAATTGCTTTTTGTTTATTTTAATTAATTTCTTCTGTACAAAAGCTATGGCAAATTACTGAAACTCTAAAATTGCATAATTTTAGTCCCTTATTCAACTTCAATAGGATTTTATATATTGACAAACGAACTGTGACCTTCAGGTTGACCTTTGGCCTACTTTTCACCATGAACTGAACTTAATAACATTTAATCCCTTATATCTGCAAAACTGGCATAGACATGCCCATAGTTACTATTGAAGTTGAATAGAAAGTTATATACTGGCAATCTGTTGCCTTAAATTGACCTTTGATCTACTTTTCACAATGATATGAACTTTGCAAGGATCCCTTTCCTCATATTTCCAAAACTGACAGAGATACGCCCATAGTTACCATTGAACATGAATAGGAAGCCTAATACTGGCAATCTAACTGTGACCTTGAAATAGACCTTTGACCCGCTTTTCACCATGAACTGATCTTTTCAACTTTCCCCCCTCATATCTTCAAAACTGGCAAAGATATGCCCATAGTTACTATTGAAGTTGAGATGATGTCCCTTTTTACGAATGCGCTTCCTGCAGCTGGTGGTACAACACCCGGAGGCGATATCGCTTCTCTAATCATCAAGCTTGATGTGGCTTACAATTTCCAGACCCAGTGGCTCTGTTTCTTTTTCCGGCGCTCGTTTTGGTCAAGGCACTGGTTCCATTCTTATGGATAACGTCGTCTGCTCTGGAAGTGAGACTTCTATCAAAGATTGTAAACACAGAGGTTGGGGGACACACAACTGCGATCACTCTGAGGACGCTGGTGTCAGATGTGTTGCAGCAAGGCCTGGTGGGTGAACAGACAGATTCTTAATTTACGTATTTAAACCATGCTACTAAATGGTGTTGAGATTATTTCGGCCTTGGACCCGAGGGGTATCATAATGGTGTTTTAATGATATTTGCATTGGCCTCGATTTTTATGTCCTGTTGTGTGAAATAGAGAGTTAGCAAATAGGTGGTGCTTTTATTAAACTTTGCTTATCGACATCCGCAATCAATTCTTTGCAGTTGCAGCTGTAAGATTGGTGGGTGGTGAACGTGTCAGTGAGGGCAGAGTTGAGATCCTCCATAACGGCGAATGGGGCACTATCTGTGATAACGGCTGGGATGACAACGATGCCCGTGTGGTCTGCAAAATGCTTGGTTACAAGTAAAAACATCATTTTAGGAAACCATTCCCAAAACCCAATCATACTAACTGGGTCGATCTTACTCCTATTCTGGCTTATTTGCGTTCAGTTTTTCTGGCACACCCGCTCGTAACTAAAAGTACCAATGATGTTGTTTATGTTGTTTTGCGAGGTCGTGCCAAACAATAAGCTGATTACATTGCCTGCGCCTTAGCAAGAATCCCCTCTGAGATAGGTCGACCCTGATAGCTTTCATGAGAAAATTAGAAAAACGTGTATTTTACCACCCAATGACTCCTTATGAAAATGCTATTTATTTAATATATGGTAATCATTTCAACTTTTTGTAGTGTATTTTTTGAAAATATCTTGGAAATTTTCGAAAGTTTGATGATAAAATATTGGGTAAAAAAGAAGAAATATAAACACAAAAGAAATTAATATTTATACCCACGGGATTTGGACTCCCATGAAAAAAGGCCCTATTTTTATATGTAGTCGCCATACCATTATTTTTCACATAGTTTGCATTGTGATGTATATTTTGTATATTGTATATTTAAAGGTTTGGTGGTGATTTTATTTTCTGAAAATTCTTAAATATCAAATAAAAAGCTTTTTCACAGGGAATCATTGGGTGGTCAAATACACATTTTTATTTTTTGCTTATCTAAAACCTTCTGCTATATCTATAATATTTGATTACCATTTTTAAATTGAAAGCTGAAAAATATGATTGATTTTGTAGCGACCGTGACGCGACTGCTATCCTTGGAGTTTCGTTTGGTCGAGGTCCTGGTACCATTCATATGGACGAGGTGGCTTGTACTGGCAGAGAGAGATCCCTGAAAGACTGTCTCCACGATGGATGGGGATCACACGACTGTACACATATGGGAGATGCTGGAGTCAGGTGTTTGCCATAAGAACATATCCCCAAAGCATAATAAGGGTCCACCTGGACAGAAATGCATAATATGTTTGTTTTTGCACTGCCTTGAAGTTTTCAAAGTATCATAGCAAAAAAAAAAAAAAAAAAAAAATTACGATGAATATAAACATTCCGACATATATAACATTGCCTATTATCACTGCTTTACCCATAATAAAAGCCTGTTTATATGCATCTCTTTATTTTAAGAAATCCAAAATAGATTCCAAGAGTAAGGAAAAAAAAAACGATTCTCAGTTGGCTAATGTATTCAATTATTTCGCTTTTAGACATACTATATAGCTCATTACACATTTTTTTTTCTGTCCTAGGTAGCATGTTGTGTACAACTTTTGAAATTATACATATACATGGTTTCACTGCCCTCAGTGTCAGGGCCACTGTGAAGCTAATTTCTTAACTACTCAAACCTTTTTTCACAGGATAGCTTCACAGTGGCCCTGAGGAACAGCGATAATGTCCTCTATCCGTCAATCCAAAATAACTGCTCTGCAGCGTATCTGCAGTTGAATGTCATTAGTCCAAAATGAAACATACCACAGATTTAATCTTGCTTTATTTAATTTCATTTACTGAATAAGGTGTATATATACAAAGTCACAGTCCCTTCAACCTGTCTATCTATAACAGGGTCCCTAGAACTGTCAACTTTTGTAAAGTTCACATTTACAGGGCTTATTCATCCTAGTGTTAGCTGACCTTGCAAGGAAGTTTATTGGAATGTATTTCTGAATAACCTATTAAAGCAATAATAACTCTTCCTTTGAGATTCAAAATTCTGCAAGAAATACATGTACATTGTAAACAACGCATGGAAATATATTCTATTGTATTTTACCACTAAAACGGCTGTTATTGTAGTAAAACTAAAATCTGTGCTTGTCAATAGGGCTTTCGATGCTTTTCTTCCCGGTCGTCAAGGCATCCGTTGCTAATGACGTAAGGGTGTCACGCGGGTTCTCGCGTTCATTCGAGACCAAAATAACAATAACCAAAATAACGAAAAGCCCAGAATGGCACACATTGTGGATATAAATGCATTTTTTACAAAAAGACGAATATATCTCATGAATGTTATATTATTGTTATATAGTGTTGTTGTTATCTGCTTTTCCCGCGGTTTTAAGTAGGTCACCAGTGACTATGCAATGTCAGAGAGGGCTCCGTCAATTAAAATCTCTTAAGAGATTTTAACAAAAACCGTACTTGTAGGAAAAAAAAACCTGGATTAACTTTGAATGCAGGAATAGGGTCGTTGACCATTGGTAAGTACGGGAACATTGCCGTTTTTTTTCCAGGAAAATCCAATTTTTGGCCAAAACGAAGAGTTATTATGACTTTAAGAAAATTCACTAGTTCACTAAAGACACAAAACAACTGTCACTTTTACTTTAAAACACTTTTTTCATTATTTTGGTAAAGTTAGTTACAGTATTGATAAACAAAGTATCACGCTTTCAATAATTATTATTTTAAATTACAATCCATGTCTTGCATCACGACGACCACACAACAACGTTGAGTCAATGACCAATACTCTCCAAACGTGGTCTTACCTGACACCTCAGGCGATATTATCTTACACAAACCTTCCAAAAAGCATTCTGCAACATGTCTACGGGCCCTAATTTGACCAATGAAGGCATACAAGAAATGCCATGATTCTTCAATAAAACGAACTTGTTCCTAGTGATGGTTGACCAAGTTCTGGTAGTTCTGGGGTCACTGAACCTAACATTCTCAACTGATACCGCATTCCATCTGCAAGAGGGGACTTCGGGAGTGATCCAGACTTCATCATGACAGCACCCTTGCACACAGTTCTCGTGTGGTGAGTGATTTGTTCTGAGGCTGGAGAACCCAATGTTCTGAGGCTGGAGAAACCATCTTTGAATCTTGATAATAAACCTACTGAGCACCCGTAGCATGAATTAAAGTGTGCAATCCAGAGGAGAACCAAACCCCAACTAGTCCAGACCAATTCCGCCAAGCTTTTAGGAAACATGGGGCAAAATCCCACAAAACAGAATTGTTACCCTTGTTGAAGGCGGTGGCGCCGTCTACAGGAGATAATTACAGTGCACGGTAGCCACACACGCTAATAGACACGTGACCTTTAACGAGCACTCCCTAATGCAAAATGTGTGTAAATTTGGTGACTTTTGGTGGTGTCATTTCAATTAAATGGGCATTAGTTTACCTCCATGAAATGACATTGGCACATCGGATTTGAGGGGGTACATGTAAAAAATGTAAATAAATGGTATTAAATATGGATATCCTGATTGCTACTTTGTATTTTCTGTACCAATAATCATGTTAGTTGTGGTATCTGTAATGAAAATCACCATTCATAGTAATTTACTCCTGTGTTGTGATCATTTATAAATGAAAGCACATGAAACGGGGGGTATGACAACCTTTTTGACCAATGTTGTATATTGTAATGTATATTACTATTACAATTGACCACCATGTTTTACATGCGGGGGTATAAACGTCAATGTGGTCAATGAGATTTAAGTTTTTCACAACTCTCCTGGGGACAAATGGTGTAAGACCTCTAGACAGAAAGCCAATGCAACCGAAGAAACAGTATATTTTGAAAGAATGCAGCAGTTACATATGGAATACATATGTACGGCTCACGGCCTACTGACTAATACATGTACAGCAAACTAACCTCTCTGTGAGAAAGAATAAAGTTTCCATTTGATCTGCCCTATCAACGAAGCTTCTGTGGCTCCGTGGTTACTCTGCAGACTTGGACGCAGTTAGACATAACTTGGCGCGGGTTCGAATCCTAGGATCTTCAATGTGAATTTTTTGCTCCAAATAACTTCTAAAATTTGCGTTAGATTACTATAAGAAGAAACTCCGTCACCGAGCAGTCGGTAGCGTGCTTGGTTGCAAAAAAGACCAAGCATTCAACAAATCATAATAACGGCCAGTCACGAGCTCAAATCCCAGAGGATGCTTGTCGGTTCAACAAAACAACGGCACAATAATGGCTCTCTTGTGTCCGAGCATATTACCTTTTGCATTAATATTTGGTATAGTTTAGAATTAGTGATCGATTGTGACAACAAATTATTGCTCGACAGTATCACAAAGTCTAAGTCGTCAATTATATTTCTTTTCTGTTTGCTTTTAAGTATCTTAAATGATACTTAGGTGGGTATGGTCAATAATTTATATCCTCTACCAACTACTCAACTGATCACAATTTAATACAGTCTATACCTTACCCGGCATGGTGTCACGCACGTCATACAGCCCTTTCATGAAAAGAAAACTATATGCTCGTTGGGACTATCAGCAAGCATTTTTTGCAAAAGTCACACTGCCGCTATTGCTTTACCTAATCATGCATTTTGCTTTATATGCCTCCCTCACCCTTTGGCCTTGATTATCAAAATTGTACAGTCATAAGATTATGTATGTGTGCATTTATTCCATCTAACGTAAGAAGATTAGATACAATTATAACGTCAGAAAATACAATAGAGGGAGTGTGATAATGATAGGGTCGCTAAACGAATTTGACGGAATATAGTGACTAGCCTAATTCTCTTGTCGCCTGGTTAGGCACGCCCCCTTAGAGTACTTATGTAAACAAAAGGTCTTCCATAGAGAACTATCCTTTTGTTCAACAGCTTCGCGCGTGCAGCGGATTATGTATATAGTGACGCTATACAGCTAACT